GTGTGTGTGTGTGTGCGCGGGGTGGGGGGAGTGTTATTTTTAAAACAAATTTATATTTCTATGGCCGGTTTCTGAAGGTAGTTTGCGACGAAAGGCAGTTAGGAAAGATGATAGGGAGTTGTGCAAAGTTTATAGGAGTCGTTCAGACGTGGCCTGGCGGAGTGGGGTTCCTTGGGCTCTTGCAGCTTTTGCTGAGTGCTTGACCTTGTTCTGATCATAAAGTTTGGAGCGTGATATTAACACATGCTTTATTCGTGAAGCCAGTAGTGTTCTAAGGATGAGTGAGATGATCGGTATTTTCGTGACTGTTGGGCCAAGTGGCTTTGAAGGAAGAACTGTGATCGCGAAAGGGCGGGGAAGATCGGAGCGTTTCGTCAACTATCTCTGATGCTGGTACCCGTGCCCCGAGCCATGAAGCGTGTAGAATTACCGTCCGTGAGCTTCCAGACATCGCCCCAGCCCCCACCCAAAGCCCCGCCCCGCGCCCACCGCTACTCTTGGCGTCGCCGGAGGGACAGCCGCGGGCCGCCCGTCATCCCTGAGGGTAACGAGTCTGAGACGTCAGACAGCCACAGCCTGTACACGTCATTCTGCAGCGACAGCAATGATTGCAACAACACGGATGACGGTGACACCATTGGCTACGCCAGCAGCGATTGCAACGACAGCAGTAGCAACTATATGCCTAGTGCGATCGCCGCCCGACATCGCCTTCAGCAACAGCTTTACTTCAGTACCGACAGCGTCAACAGCTGCTCCAGCACCCTGTACGGCAACGGCGGCAGCGCGCACAGCTTCGACAGAAGCAACAGCAGCAACAGCTTAAGCACCATCAGCAGCAGTAACAGCAGCAGCAGCAATGGCGGCGCGGGATCGCGCCTGTCTGGCGTGGACACGGAGGAGGTGACCACCGACAGCGGCTTGGCCGACTCCCCGCCTCTCCCACCGCTCCCTCCTCTCCCTCCTCGGCGGAGGCACAACGCCAGCTCAGCCAACAGCGCCAGATCCAACATCAACTACAAAAACACCACCACCAACAACAGCATTAACAACAACAACAACTGTAACAGCTATGACAACAACAGCATGAACAACTACAACAACTGTAACAGCTATGACAACAACAGCATGAACAACTACAACAATTACTACGATAACAGCGCTGGTGTGTCCAGAGAGACGTCCCCAGAAGACTGCAGCCAGACTGGGGGTGGCAGCTTCTATGAAGCGTACCGCTCACGATTCACCTCGCCACCACCACCACCATCATCGTCAACACCGTCACCATCGTCTTCAACAGCAGGGACGTCATCCCCCCACCACCACCACCACAACCACCGACACCACCCTCAACAGCCGCCGCCTCTACCTCCGCCACCTCCTCACCTGCAGCCAATAAACCACGCCCCTGACTCGGACCCCGTGACCTTGGATCACAACTATAGCACAGCCATCTCCTCAGACTTCCACGCTCGGGACCACCTCCCTGACAACGTGGTGAATGTGAAGGACGCTCGGAGCAGTTCCGGCGTCGATGATGTCAGTAGCGTGCTTAGCAACGAGACGGGAGGCGAGGAGCAGACAGACGAGTTCAAAAGTAGTGCCAACATTGATCTTGACATTCCTATGTTGTTCTATTTCAGGCGCAAGAATACACTCATCCTAAGGACTCAGCTCACAGTCAGAGTTCATGCCATCATCGGTGAGTACTTTTTTACGCTACCTTTCTCTCTCTCTCTCTCTCTCTCTCTCTCT